GATTATAGTTTTATATTAAGAGTAAAAAGTAAAATATACTGAAAAGTATATAATGGATTTTAATTAGCAAAATATTTTTTCTTTTTATGTCACTATTAAAGTAACTGCAAGAATCTCAGAATATTAATGCATTTGCTGTACCGAACTTAAAAGAAATATTTCTGAGGCAATTAAGTCAATTACCTGTAAGATCACAAGAGCGTTTTCTATGGAAAGGTCATCTGATGGTAAGCCTTCACTTTTCCAAATTAACTGCTCACTTTCAGTACAAAGAAATCTCCTTAGATCAAATTCTGCACAAGTGAAAGATACCAAGCATGTCACTACAGTGATCATGTACGTGACAAAGGGAATAAAAGTGTTTCAGACATACTGGCAACATATAGCTGTCCTTCATCTGAAACACATTTGGGAGCCTCAGAAGCCAAACCCAAGGGCAAGAAAACTTTTTTTAGAAAGTGCAAGAGTAGAACTCAAGACTTCTTCTGAGTGAATGTATTACAATGTTTTGCAGTGAAAACTCAAAATTAACAGAGAATTTGGAACCCCACATCTCATTTTATTATGTGAAATTACTGTAAAATATTTAGATACATCTGTGCAATATTAAAAATAATTTAGAAGTCTAGGTTATACCGATATAGAATTAAAAAATTTACAGTTATGAAACGATTTACAAAACATTTCTGCAATATGGAAAATTTGTACTAATGCCTTTTTGTGACATGCAGTAAACTTCCTCGTATAAAAGAACTAAAGAACATTTTTCATAGAGTGAAATTCAAATTTATAAATAACTCAATACACACTGTCAAGCCCTGCAGACTTGGTCCATTCTTCCAAGTAGGTCTTTCGGAGGCACTCCGGAGCCGCGGAGAGGTACGTTATAAATGCAGCAGCCAGCTGAGCTCTCTTAGGGAGAGTAGCCAGCTCCTCAGATATCTCTGCAACCTGCAAAGAGAGCTGCATGTGGGTCTGTGCATACAGAGAGAGGAAAGCTTTAGGGTGAGGAAAGGAGAATCAACAGCCAAAATTTCCAAATACCATTAAGACCTTGGAGTTTTTAAAAGTACAAAATACTGCTGGGCGTGGTGGCATACACCTTTAATCCCAGCACTCGGGAGGCAGAGGCAGGCAGATCTCTGTGAGTTCAAGGCCAGCTTGCTCTACACAGTGAGTTCCAGGACAGCTGGGGCTACAGGGAGACCCTGTCTCAAAAATACAAAAAAAAAACAAAGTACAAAATACTAACCTAGTTCTACAAATAAACATGTTTTGTTATGTTAACACACCCACAAACAAAAATACAACTTTAATTTTTCAAAAGCCTAACAGGGTTGAAACACATTTCAAGAAGAAATGAATGGCCAATAGCATGGAATCCTAAAATTATTGTCCTGTGATGGTGAACTCCACCAGGACACTCATCCCCTCCCGACTCATCCATAGCATGGGCAGCTAACTGGGCCACTTCCCTAAAATCTGTCCTCCAACAGGCAGACCATGGACAGAGGCCATCTTCTAGAGTCCGGTTGCACCAGCTTGCTCAGGATTGTCACAGCTAAGCTGGTTGACTGTTACTCTGAACAAGAAAGGAGGGGCAGGGAGAGTCTGCCACATCTCCCAACCAACCGGTTTGCCCTAGTTGCATGAGCGCGAGGGACTAAGGTTATATAAACTGAGGAAGCTGTGGTGAGGCTCTCTGGCCTGTGGGGAAGTCATCATCTACACTTGAAGACGTTCCAGTGCGACCTTGTCGGGGAGGCACCCACAGTCCTGTAAAGTAATCCCTTACCCACTACTCTGTAAGTAAGCCCAGTAAATTCACTGATTTTCCAGACTGCAGTTTGGAGAAACTGTACATCGTTTGCACCTTCCAGAGGGAATTTCAAGTACACAGTTTATAAAAAGATACTTTGCTTAAGGGCTAATTCACTTATTTGATGACTATTTCTAGATCATTTGTGCAAAGCTAACGGAGATTTCTGCTCATCTGTTTGAAACAAATGCAATTAATTAAATCACGGATTTTCCGACTCTCCTCTCAAACATACCTGGGCATTCCACCTCTTGTGCTCCCTGTCAAGCTGACTGATTAAGACCTCTGCAGCTCTAATGGTCTCCTGTGCTCTGCTGACTTCAGCTTCAAGTTTGGTGGCTTCTGACGTCCTGCTCTGAAATCTAAGAAAACATTAACATTTAGTTAAAAACAAAGATTTAAGAAATATTTAATGCAGTTATCCTTGGGATATACTGATCATATACGTATATGAAATGCCACTAATAAAACAGACACGAACACACACATTCAAAGGTAATCATTCCTGCTGGGGTATAGCTCAGTGGTGAAATGTGTGTGAGACACAAAGCCCTAGGTTCACGCCTCTGCACTAAAGTCAATGAAGTATAGCTTTCTCTATATCCAAGGACTGGGAAGAACCTCGACTATATCACATACAAACTTTTTTTAATGGCATTTAAAGGCCCTGGACTTAAGAAAAAAAAAATCAACCTATCTATAAAATTTTCTTTCTCTTCTGGACCCACAAAACTATATGCTAAGATCTTAAAATTTTCACATTATTAAAAAACGTCCTCTTTTAAATTAGCCTTGAACATCTTCAACTCACTCCCTGATTTCTACCTCACTCCTCAGCCCAATGCTCTCAAACGTCTGCCTATCGAAAATATAAGCTGAAAATATTTCAAATATCAGGTCCCTGTTTCTGTGCACATGTGCACCTTTGTATGGTATATGTATGTGCATACTGTGTAGGTGTGCTCGCTTGTGCAGGAGTGTGCAGAGGCCAGAGTTCAATACCCGTATTTCTTCAATAGTAATCGCCTTTTATTTTTGAGACAGAGTCTCTGACTGAGTCTGGAGCTTACCATTTTGACACAACTGGCTGGCAGCAAGCCCCAGGGATCTGCCTACCTCTGCCCTCCAGTCCTGGGGTTATAGGCACGCATTACCAGACTTGGCTTTTTATGTAGGTACTGGAGAATCCAAACTCAGGTCCTCATGCTTACATAGCAAGCACTCTACACACAGAGCTATCCTCCAGCCCTATAGCTCTTTTGAAATGGTTTTCCTTGAAAACCTCTTGTACAATTTAAAAAAACATTTTATTTATTATTTTTATTGTATGTGTATGAATGTACTGCCTACATATGTGTAAGTATACCCGTGTCCTACAATGCCCACGGAGGTCAGAAGAAGGCATTGAGTTCCCCTGGAACTGGAATAACAGAAAGTTGTTAGCCACCATGTGGGTCCTGAGAACTGAACCCAGGTCCTCTGCAAGAACAGCCCATGATCTTAACCACTGAGCCTCTCCAGCCCCTACCTGTACAATTTTTTATTTTGTTTATGTGTGTGTGTGTGTGTGTGTGTGTGTGTGTGTGTGTGTGACCGAGTGTGTGCCTGTGTACGCTTGTGCAGGCACCTATGGAGGTCAAAAGAGGGCTTTGGATACCCTGAAGCTGGAGACACTGCAGCTGTGAGCCAGCAAGCACTCAGCACTGAGACGCTCCAGCCATGATTACTACTGGTGATTCTGTATTAAATATAATGGTGATATTTGGTATGACTGATCAGTCAAAAATATGTAAGTTCCAATAATAAGCTCAGGACTATACCAAGCATCAAACAAGCTTGATTCTTATAGAACAGGTCAGAAGAAGTACTATATTTTATATGTCACAAATAAGGAAAGCTAGACCCAAACAGATTGTTGTATAAGTTCTCTTCAATCATCAGTGGATATAAATTCACATACAGGTGCATCTACCATTAAGCTGTGCCACTTTACAGAGTATTTCATTGACCCTCTACTATCTGCTTCCTCCCCTAGACTCAAGCCTTTGAAATGAGTATTCCAGTGTGTAGTCACTAGCCCTTTGGGGCTATAGAGTTTCCCAGTTGTACTACCCAGAGTGTAAGTGCTCTCCAGCCACATGAGGCTACATACTACCAAACCAAACAGATTACAGAACATTTCCATCATCTGAAGAACTTCAATTGGATGGTGCTGCTCTTCAGGACGTGGAAACAAATGACATCTCTGTTTCCAATTCATACCACACTTTGTATATGGTTTCTATGATGAATACTTGCTAAATCAACTCACATTTCTAAATAACTTGTATAAGAACATCAAAAATCTCCTTAATTTTGTCAAATTAGGATTAAAATTGATAGGCCAAAGACTGGAAATGTAGCTCAGTAGAAGAGCACTTGTCTAGCATGCACAGGGTCAAGTCCAGACACTATAAGTCTGACAGATCAGGTTTTTTCTCAATTCCCTTATTCTATTTTTTAATTTATTATTTTTATTTTATGTATATGAGTGTATTGCCTGCATCTATGTAAGTACACCCATGCCATGCCATGCCTGAGGAAGTCAGAAAGGGTGTCAGACCCCCGGAACTGGATTTACAAACGGTTGTTAGCCACCACAAAAAAGAAAGAAAAAAAAAAAAACAATACCTTATAGAAAAGCATGTATCCAAACTGAAAACCTTAGCATGCATTTAGTATGCAATACAATCTTTAGAGTTCCAACCTCTCACAATTTTAGATGAAAATGTGCTCACATTTGTAATTCTCGTATCAATAATTATCTTCTACTAAACAGCAATCACAGACACACAGACACATGAAATGCTTTAAGACTAATCTTTACAAATCAGTCTTACATATAATACTTGCACAAATAATTTTTTAATACAAACTGAAAAAATTAAAATGGAACTTTTTTGACATGACCAATAGCCTTGTAAAAATTACAGTGCATATGGCAACAGCATTGTCAACATAAAGGAATATAAAAATCACAAAGCCAAACTAAAATGTAATGTTAACGTAAACACTAGATTAGGTCACCACATCCAGTTCTCAATATTCTCACTGGTGCTGGGGGTGTATATATATAGCAGTAATTACATAAATTTTTCTTACCAAAGACTATTTATCCAATCGGTTTTGATTTCTGAGACAGAGTTTCAGGTAGCTCAGGTACCCCAAACTTACTATGTAGCTGGAGCATGATCTTGAATCCTGATCCGCCTGCCTCTACCTCCCAAACCTGGATTATAAACATGGGCCACACACGAATGGGGCACTTTCTCCACTATGCTAGGCTCCTAACAACTTGAAAGTGATATCATACAAAAAGAAGGAAAACTAGTGGTCATGACAAGGACTTCGAAAATGTTTAAAATCAGTTGAGGCCTGTTTCAAATATTCATAATCAATTTAAAGTGAACTTACTTCTCTTTGAGTTCTGATACCTTTTGACCAACAGAATTAAGAAGATCCTCTAGCTTTTGCTTTCTGTCTTCGGTTTTCTTCAAATTTCTAAAATATGATTCAAAGTAACAAGTCAATTTTAGATGTCAACATAAAAGCCATTATAGCATTATGAGATGTAATCTTGCAAGAAATGTGATAAAATAGCCACAGTTCAATACTGTAACAGTTTTTCACAGAGTTTAAGAAGCAATGATCAAATTAAGTGTACCCTCAGACCCAACTCCAATCATTTCTAGATGCTGATATTTAACAACACTTAAATATCACATGTAGACTTTTGAATAAAAACAGCATATTAAACATGCTCATTTATCTTCTTTCAAAACCCCATAAAGATAAGTGGAAAATAAGGACTGACGTGGCAGAATACAGAAGGCAAAAGCTCAACTAGTCTGCAGAAAGGCAGGGGCACAATGAGCGTGGTGCTAACACTCAGGAGAGACAGACATCCCAGGCTGAGGATGGTAACAAAGCTAAAGACAGAGGTGTGTTTTAAAGATAACACACAACACTTAACAGTTCGACTGTGAACTCCATTCCCCCACTGAAACCGCCTTTTTAAAAACAATTCAACAGGCCAGTCAACACCCCAAGGTACAATTACAGGTAAAAGAAGAAACTATCAAAGAAATAACGCAATAAATTTTCTCAGATGACATGAATTTTTAAAACTGAAGTAGACAATGAATAACCAACACCAAGAATTGTAAAGTTCACAACATTAAAAACAAAGTCTTAAAAACTTCCAAAGAGAAAAAGATAAATATGGGATAATGTTCAAATGACAGAAAATCAAAATGGCATTATACTTTCAACAGCAAAGCTGGGTGGATGACAGCAGCATGGGGGCATGGAACCTCACTGCACACCCAAACAGCTGGGATGACGTGTTGGCACACCCAAACAGCTGGGATGACATGTTGCATCAGACTGCAGGGCTTAACCCCACTTGAGCAGAAGGACTCTGTGAGAATGGAGCAAAAGACTTGAACTTTTTTTAATATGTATTTTTTTTATTTTATGTGTATGAGTGTATTGCCTGCATGTAGGTAAGTGTACCTGTGTCGTGCAATGACTGCAGAAGTCAGAAGAGGCTGATGGATCCCCTGGAACTGGAGTTACGGACAGTTGTTAGCTGTCATGTGGGTGCTGGAATTCAAACTCAGGTTTGAACAACCAGTGTTCTTTACTGCTGAGCCATCTCTCCAGCCCCAAAAGTCTTGAACTTTAACAAAACCTGAGGTGATGCTGAAGTGCTGACCTAGGGACCACCACATGACCATCACCACCATGTGACCATCACCATAACAGTCTAAGCCATCAAAACACATCAGAAAACCCACCCCGACATGACCACATATGATGAGATAGTATAGATATGACGGGGCTCACAATATTTTCTGCCCCATATACTCCTTTAGGAACTTATTGAGGAAGATATATCGTAGGAAAATGAAAATCAAACTAAGAAAGAAAAAAAATGCAAGAATTCATAATGAAATGATGCAATGCAAAAAAAGGACAGCACCCAAACAGCAATGACCAGAAGTCACTAGGTAAGGGCTGTGCACAGGATACTAAGGAACCACCAGTACAGGAGAATCTCACAGAAAACAGAAAAGTGAGATCACCCAATAGGTTTTAAGTTTGTGTCTTATAGACAAATCCACAGCATGCAAACAGAAGAAGAAAGTGAGTTTTAACATGAGGTAATCATTTCTGTCAAGAACACAAAGAGGAGAAGCAACTGCTGGCAGAGCTTCCCCAGCACATGAAGCTTCTTCGTTCAGTCCCCAGTATGACTCCCCCCAAAAGAACAAAAATAAAGAACAAAATATCTAGGAGAAAGGAAACATTCGGAAAATACACGTCTCAGCTAAGAAAGTATCTTCAGTCAAAACAGTAAAAACACCTTTAACAGAAAATTTTCATATAATTATACTGAGAAAAAAGGAAAAGCTGAAATTTTTCTCCAGAACGGGAAGTTGCATAGGCAGGACCAGAAGCAGGACAGCCACAAACAGAACAAGCCTCTTGGTCTACATTTGGAATGAAAGATAGAAAATATAGTCCTGATTTAATAACAACAACACATTTTATCTTTAAGCTACAATAGTAAATAGTTAAGCATTCTTCCTACCTTTTCAGACACTGTTTAGGAAAATGCATCCTAAATATTTCAGAAAATTGATGTGAAAATACATATACAACTTCTAGATTTTAAGTCATTCTTTTTAAATTTTCAATTTATTTTAAATATTCTATGTGCACATTTTGCCTGCATGTATGTAAATGCACCTGTGTGTACAATGCCCGCAGAGGTAGGAAGAGGGTATGGGATCCACTGGAATTAGAGTTACAGATGGTTGTTAGCTGACACTTGTGTGCTGTGAGCTGAACCCAGGTCCTCTGTAAAAACAGCCAGTATTCTTAACCACTGAGCCACCTCTCCAGGCCCATAAGTCATATTTTCTTTAGTATTTATTATCCTCTATGGAACTTTGACTTTTTCTAAAGACATTTGACAATTACACGCTACTAACAACACGGACAAAGAAAAGTCACTTGGTTCTGTCATCCTCTAATTAGCTGTTTTGGTTTTTTTTTAATGTATATGTTTATTTGTTGTTTTTCTTTGAGACAGGGCCTCACAATATGGCACTGGCTGGCCTGAAACTTGGTATGTAAACTCAGCTGGCCTTGAACTCACAGAGATCAGCCTTGCCTCTGCCACCTGAGTGCTGGGATTAAAGGTGTGCACCACTATATGGCCAAGCTGTTTTCTGTTTGCTTGTTTGTCTGTTCTTTTACCTGTTCAATTCTTACTTTTATGTCACTGGCTCTATACTTACATAACACTATAACACTTACATAAAACTGATGGCAAAAATAGGTTAAAACTATTTGTATTTTGTATTTCACTTACGATTCTAATCCTGACTGTTCAGTTTCCAGAGGCTGGATCCGCTCCAAGACGTGGGAATACTGCACATTGGCTTTAACCCAGGCAGCCAAAGGTGCGGCCGCAGTGCTGGCACGCTTAGCATTCTGAAAAGTCACTCAAGTTACCCAGTACTCTGACTGAACTTCAAAACAAACGCAAAGTTAAATTTAACACATTTATATAGGCATTTTTTAAAATTTGAACTTAAAGTTTGGGGTCCATAGTTTATACTGCATTGTGAGAAATATACGTGAACTCTGTTTTTAATCTGAAAGCAAATCTTTATGAACAGCATTTAATCTTTAGCATGCACTGCTGTACCAACATGGCTGCCCCGCTAGTCCCATGTCTAAGGAACGCATGGGCCAGTCACAATGCTCAAACACCAATTCTTTTTCTTCTACATGTCATATACATTTTTACCACATAGTAACAAATTGAAAATATTATGTTGGTGTCAAAGAAGATAGTATTTTAGATAAAGAAGCCTTAAAATACCAGAGTCACAGAAGTTACTTTTCCCTGAAATTTGATATAAATATCCTATATCTGTTATTATTCCTAGCAGGGGGAAAAAGAAAATCAGAAATGTAGGGAGTTAGAACAAAAAAGGAGGAGGCTCTGGGAATACAGCACTGAGAGGAAACACTTACACTCAAAACCACACAGGACAACGAGCCTCCAACTACCTGGGCTCTATCTTCCCTTATCCCGGTAAATGCTTCCCACTACATCTACAGCTCTGCTATTCCTTAATTTTAATATTTTTTTGAGGCAGAGTCTTCCTGATCACCCTGTAACCCAAGCTGGCCTGGAACTCACTATGTAGACCAGGCTGGCCTGGATCTCACAGAGATGTGCTTGCCTCTGCTTCCTGAGTGCTACGATTCAAGGTATACACCACCACATGTGGCTCTTAATTTTTATTTTTAGGGGATCTAAACCATTAACAATGACAAGGCATCAACAATAAAAAGCAGAATATTATATAGTATAGAAAAGGGAAATTACCTTTGGATCAAAAGAAGCCTTATTTTTAAAGAGAAGTTCCTCAACACTCTCTCTTATTTCCTTTGGAATGTTCCGTGCATCAAAAGTTGCGATGTCTTCTCTGATACCCCTTTTGGCAAGGAAACTAAGAAAAAATCATATTGACGTAAATAAGACTTACTAAAAGTTGATTTTCTTTTTTTTTTTTTTTTTACTTTATGTGTATGAATGTTATGCCTGCATGTATTTAAGTGTGCCTGTGTCATGCAAGGCCTGCAGAGGCCAGAAGGCAGTGTCGGATCCCCTGGAACTAGAGTTATGGACGGTTGTTAGCCCTCATGTGGGTACTGCGATTCAAATTCAGGTCTTCTATAAGAACAGCCAGTACTCTTAACCACTGAGCCATCTTTCAAGTCCCTAAAAGTTGGTAATTCTCAAAAATGTATGTACTACTTAAAAAACGAGTTAAGAAATATCAAATATTAGAAAATTTAAGCAAGAGTTAACAGCTTTTTAAAATAAAGAGAGACTCTCTAGAGGAGTGAAATATTCTGTCTAATGTCCTGGGTACAAACTGGAGCGGGACGTGGTATGTCAGAATCCACTAATTTTTTTATTCCACTATGGCTTTGAGTCAAGTACTATAGACTCTTGTTTCCTAGGATTATGCAAGGAACTATACCAAATGCTTTCTAAAGTATTTTGAAGAATTCCTTCATTTGAAATCTATTCTTCAATGCTCAGGCATAAAAAGGACTCCTTTGTTATCAACTGAAATCTCAACAACTTAAACCTTAACACCATTGGTGAAAAGCCTGACATTGTGGGGTCTGTGAAGGAAAGCTCCCAGGAAGAGTTGAATTTCCTGCAAGGCCGACCAACTGACTAACACTTCAATCAGGTGGAAAGTTTAAAACATTGCAGATCCAGAGCCTGATCACAAATTATCTGGGGACACCTTTAACCCCATAAAGAGCCACACCTTGCCTACCTTGTTTCTGAGTTAATGCTCTTGTGACTAATAAAACTTAGCAGACCTCCAGGTCCTACCAGTCAAAAAGCTAAGAACGTCATCAGATGGCATCTGAGACCTACAGTAGAAATCCCGCCTCCTCCTGACTTTGCTATGACCTGAATGTATCCACCAATGTATTTAAAAAGTGTTTGATTTATGACTTTTCCTTGTTCCATTACTATAAAAATGTAATGCTACTGCTAGCATGCTGGAACATGGAATTTGGGGTAACCTGAATCTGTGTTCCCGGGCCATGGTTATTCATATTTGGCTCCAGAATAAACTATCTCTTCCCCTTTGAGGTGAGAGTTATGCTTTTGCATCAACAAGTCCGTGTTCCATTACTGCCCACCGTTTTCATGGATTCCCTGAGGCTCTCTCCCTTTTCCTCCCTGCTCCCCGTTCCCCCTCCTCCCCTCTGGCCTCTTCTCTGTCTCTTTTGCTCCCCAACCCACCACAAAAGAACAAGACTCTGGTGGTTGTGGTGGTGAACACACCTGGGAGCAGAGGCAGGCAGATCTCTGTGAGTTCAAGGCTAGCCTAGTTTACATAGCGAGTTCCAGGCCACCTGGGGCTACAGGGAGACCCTTTCTCAGAAAGACCAAAAACAAAACAAAAAAGTACAAGACTCTGAGATTCACCAGAAAATCACAGTGAAATCATAGTGCTTTTACACAATATAAGGACCAAATAAATTATCACAGTTAATGGGAATTCTTGAAAATTCTGGCATTACCCACTTGTGACATGTATAATAGTTACTCGTGGAAAAAAAGATATTTAGATTTTGATATATATTTACATGTAACTTGAAATTCAGGGTAAAGAGTATACTGTGTATTTTAAAATTCTTACTTTAAATTTTATGTGTATGAGTGTTTTGCCTATCGTATGTAAGTGCACTACATGTATGCACTGCCCATGGAAGCCAGAAGAGGGCATCAGATCCCCTGGAACTGGAGTAACAGATGGTTGTTAGCCCACATGGGTGCTGAGAACCAAGTCTAGGTCCTCCGAATGAGCAGCCAATGCTCTTAACCACTGAGCCATCTCTCCAGCCCCAAGTGCACTATGTATTAAAAGGGTCAGTTTGAGAGATAATAAAGGAAATATTATGAACTAGGCATTAAAATTCTGATAGGTAGCTATGGGGGCAAAGATGGGAACTGGACCAGCCCAGGACAGGGTCAGACCTGGTCCAGGAACAACAGAGAAGATGGAGAGGTGGAGGGATTGCAGCAGTACCAGTCATTCTGCCTGGGAGAGTACTGTTGCTTTGCTCGGGAACAAGCAGTTCAGGAAAACAGGGGTGCTAACATGGTTGATGTAAGTGGTGGTCTGGAGATAAACCTCTAATGGAAAAGAGACACTGGAAAGTACTGGGGATACTTCAGAGCAGAGGCCAATCAGGTGGACTCTGAAAAGGAAATGGCTGACCCTCAGGAAATAGCCTGTGTACCCTTCATGACCAACAACAGTTTCCATTCAAGACATGACATCACAATGGATTGTCACCATAGTGGGATGTCACCATAGTGGGATGCCATCACAGTGGGATGCCATCACAGTGAGATGCCATCAGTGAGATGCTGTGCTGGATAACTTTACTGTCAACTTGACACGCCTGGGTTGAGGAAGCCTCAAATGGGGAATTGCCTCCATAGGACTGACCTGTGGCCATGTCTGTGGAGCATCTTCTTGATTGTTGAATGATGTGGGAGGGTCCAGCCCGCTGTGGGTGGTGCCACCCCTGGGCAGGTGGGCCTGTGTTACATAAGAAAGCAAGCTAAGCAAGGGCCAGGGGAGCAAGCCAGTAAGCAGTGTTCCTCCACGGCCTGTGCTCCAGCTCCTGCCTCCAGGTTCCTGCCTCAAGTTCCTACCTTGGGCTCCCTGATGAACTGTGACCCGGGAGATTAAAGATAAACAAACCCTTTCCTCCCCATATTGGTAGTGGTCAGAGTGTTTTGTCACAGCAATGAAGAAACAAACTAGAACAGATGCCATCACACTGGGAATACCCACTACTATGGAACCATAAAGGAAAATGTGTCTGCATTTTAGCCAATGTGATGGTCGATAGCGATTATCAACTTAACAAGATCTAAATCACCTAGGAGATAAACTTTTAGGCATGACTGTGAGATATCTCTAAATTAGATAGCCCTCTGGGCATGCCAGTGAAGGAACATCCCAATTAGGTAACCTGAAGTAGAAAGACACCCCCACACTCTACTCCACAGCTGGACCACAGAGGAGAGAGCAAGCTGAGCACTAGCACAGTCATTTGTAGTCATCTGCTGGGCTCCCTGACAGTAATGCCTCCAGTCCTGATGCCAAGAACCTGGCCAGGATGGACTATATCCTGAAACAAAAATAACCCTTTCTCCCTTAAGTTGTTATTGTCAGGGTATTTGCACTATGCCAGTATTCATTAAATGTATACAACCTGCTTCTTAATTCTATAGAACCTAATTGCTAAAAGGTTGCCAAGGATCATGCAAGAAACTTTGCGCTTCAACTTCTGAGCAATAATGGAACTGTGAAGATTTTGGGGGACTCGTGGATATTAGCAGAGTGTATTTGGCATTTTAAGATGACAAGCACCTTTTGGAGACCAGGGGTGGAATGCTATGACTTAAGATGTGTTTGGGTGTCAAGCTGACAAAAGGTGTTGGGATGAGTAATACTTAATCTTGATTATCAATTTGAGAGCATTGAAAAATGACTAGAAGATTGGTAAAGCGTATCTCTGACACTTTCAGAGAGGATTAACTGCAGGGGGTAGGGGGATGGAGTGCCCCTCCAAACATGTATAGCACAATCCCACAAACTTGCCCTGGAAAGAATAAAAGGAGAAAGCTAGGGACAGCAAACATTTTCATTGCTTCATGACCTTGGTGAGGTGAGCTGTCCCACCTGTCTCAGCTATGATAGATTTGACAGTTCTGAAACTGTGAGCCAAAACAAAATTTTCTTAACTTTAAAATAAATAATTAAAGGAAGGTAAAATTCACTGCTTAAATAATATTTTTCATAAGTTCAAAAGCTTACCTTTTCATGCTTACCCAAGACGTATCAAAGATACCCATTAATCTCAAAACTCCTTCAAGAATGTCTCGGATAACATCTGGTGGCATACGGAGTGAGCGAATTTCAGAAAGAGATTCTGGTCTAATGTTTCCAACTGCTAGCTTAGCTTCATTAACCAGAGGCTAAAAGAGAAAAGAAGGAAAAATAAAACTCAGTAAGGTCCTCAGGAACTAGAGAGATGGCTCAGCAGTGAAGTGCACTGACTGCTCTCGCACAGGGCCAAATTTTGTTCCTAGCACCCACATGGTGGCTAGCAAGTTCTGTAACTCCAGTTCCAGGGGACCCAACACCTTTTCTGGCCTCTGTGGGCAATATACAAATGAGTACACTTACATACATGAGGGCAAAATACTCATAACACATAAAACAAAAAATATACCCGGGCGTGATGGTGCATGCCTTTAGTCCCAGCACTTGGGAGACTGAGATAGGCGGATCTCTGTGAATTCAAGCTCCAGGTCAGTTGGGATTACAGGAGACCCTGTCTCAAAAATACCACACACACACACACACACACACACACACACAAAATCCTGTCAGGTCAGGCATGGTGGCAGCATTTATTCCCAGAACTCTGGAGGCAGGGGCAGATAATCTCTATGAGATCAAGGCCAACCTAGTCTGCATAATGAGTCCCAGGCCTGCTGGGGCTACAGGGAGGCCTTGTCTCAAAAAAAAAGTAACTTTTTACAAATCATCATGTATTGCTATTTTACTCAACTGAGTACAGCTACTGATGATCTTTTCTTCAAATATTAAACTTCAAAATATGCAAAGAATGTCCAAGCTGAGGAAGTAGAACTTCTTGGCATTGTAACGGCACCTCTAATTTAGCACTTCTAACTTGATTTGAGATGACTTGACATTTTCAGGAGTCTCTCTATATTTTATGAATAGTTGGGTCATTTAGTCAACAGTTTATCTTGACATAGCTATACATTGTTTCCTCTACAATCAAAATCACAAAGCTTACAGAAAACTAAGACTATTTCAATTAGTGTTTGCTTCTGCCTTTACAAGTAATAATCTGAGTAAAGCTCACATTTTATAATAGTATTAGAAAGCAATTAGTCAGTTAAGAACACAGGTTGCTCTTGCAGAGGATTCAGGTTTGGTTCCCAGCACACACATGGTGGTTAACCAATGTCCAGAACTCCTATTCCAGGGGATCTCGCACCCTCTTCTGGCCTCTTTGGTCATTGCACACACGGTACACTTACAAACATGCAGGCAAAACACTCACACACATAAAAAAATAAATCAAAAAATTTTTCAAAAAGACAGTAAACTGATCTACAAATAATGTTTAAGTTCTTATACCCAACTGGGCAGCTGAAAATGTGAACACACTTTGGAATTTTTTTTTAAACTTACCTGTACTTCTTTTAATTCATCATCAATTTTACTTTTTCTTTCTTCAATTTTAACAACTTCTTCTGCTATTTTCTGCTTCAGTCTTTCAAGTTCTGTCTTCTGTTCACTAGCATCCTACAGGAATAGTTAAGTGGTCAATGATACCAAAAATAAAACTTTTTAAACTTTTTTATTTTATGTAGTATGAGTGTTATGCCTGCATTTGTGTAAGTGCACCTGTGTCATACAATGCCCGCAGATATCAGAAGAAGGGGTTGTATCCCCTGGAACTGGAATTACAGACCATTGTTAGCCTCCATGCGGGTGCTAGGATTCAAACCCAGGTCTCCTGCAGGAGCAGCCCGTGCTCTTAACTGCTGAGCCATCTCTGCAGCCCATAAACAACATTTAATAAAAAAAAAAAAAAATTGTCTTTTTGAGAAAGGGCCTTCCTGCACTCCAGCTGGCCTGGAACTCACTATGTAGACCAGGGTGGCATTAAACTCACAGAGGTCCACCTGCCTCTGCCTCCTGAGTGCTAGGATTAAAGGCATGCGCCACCACACCTGGCAAAATTTTTTATATTAATTTTGGATCAATGACGAGAATTTCTACAATCTTACAGTTCAATTATATAGTTTACATTTAACATCAGCAATGTTTCTCTATTTTTCTTTATTTTTCCATTTAATAATAAATGTTTATTATATAAAATTTAAACAAGTCAGGAATACATACTTTACAACATGATCGTAAAAACACCCATAAGACCTGAAAAAAACCCCAGAATGTCAGTACAACTATGCCCATACTGTATATGAGGAAACTAACAATAAATGTGTAATTTTAGTTTAATATAAACTAATAATTCCTACAGATGAATTTATACATTTTGTTTTTAGACTTCTATCTTGGACATAAATTACTTGATATCCTGATACATTATGATAATATCTGGGTAAAAGTAAGTGAAAAATCACATAGCATTAAGTGACATTAATTGCTCATGAATATTTTTTCCTTTTTTTATTGAGCTTTTAAAATTTCATACATTTGCCACTCAAATCCAGACCCCCTCCCCCATTCATGCCTTCCCCATCCCCCCACAGAACCCTATGCACTCTACCAAACGTGCTGAGTCCTATTAATTCAGGTGTTTGTACCCAAATGTCCTTCAGGATAAATGTGTCCACTGGAGTCTAATTAGCCCATCAAGTGGTCGTATGTAAGTCATACTCTCCCTTACCCAGCAGCAATCAGTCTCAAATAGCTCTCAATCTAGTGCTGGCCCACCACCTATTTCTCACCTCCTCTTTAGGCCCTTGTTTAATTGAGCTGACATGGGACCTGCGCTTGATGCCATTGCTGCCACAGGGTAACATGAGCAAGTCTCTAGTGGCCTGGAAGTCTCCACCTCTCCAAGTTCATGAACCAGCCCTGGCTCCCACAATCCTTCTGCCTCCTCTTCCGCAATGGTCCCTGAGCCATGGGTGGGTGAGGTTCCATATAGGAGTCCCATCCTATACTCCAGTCTGCCATTCTCCAAAACTTGGCCAGTTGTGGTCTTCTGTGTGCATTGGACTCTGATATACATGGATGCCTTACTGGTGAGAGTTGAGGGGTGCATTAGCCCCCTCTCTACCCCTCACTCCGCTATGTTCCATGAGCCGTGGTTGTAGAGATTCGAATACAGATGAGTCACCTACTACTGGGCATCTCCCAGGTGTATGTTCTCTGTGCCTGACCCGATGTGCAACTCTACAGTAGCCTCAATCTGCTGCAAAAAGAAGCTTCTTTGATGAGTCACCCTACCACAGACCCCTAAGTCCTCAAATGCTCATGAATTAAAAAAAAAAAAAATCAAGGATGTTAGACTACACCTATATAAAAAGTTTAAATATTATATATTTTGTGTTTATTTATGCTAAATGAAAAACAAAGACTAAATTCATCACAAAACCCCTTAGAGTGCTTAAGGCAGTGGTTCTCAACCATAGTGTAGTGATCAGAGAAACATCAAAACTATTAAAATGAAGAATGAGCCGAGAATGACCAATATACTCAGTGCTACTGACGCTTGAGAACCAAGCCAGGCGTTTTCACCAACTTGAGAACTGCTCACCCTGTCAGCTATTCTTTATATGCCATCATTTCTCCAACAACCTACAACTGGGGTTCCTGAGCTACATGACAAGTACACACCAAATTTTACAGAAGCCACTGTGCTTCTGAGAAGAGACTAAATCATTTTGTCTTTCTCCAACAGTTCTGAGAGTTCCAGATGGTCCACATCCTTACCATCACTTCACATTCACAGTCTCACAGTTTCACCCGTTGCACTGAATGTGCAGTGGCATGTCACTGAGCTTTCCTTCCTAAATACTGATGCTGAGCACCTTGTCACGTTATTGCCCTTCACAGCTCTTCTTTTGTGAACAGTATGCTCAAATCTTTTAACCACTGTTAAACTGGAATTTTTGATTTACTATTAAGTTGTAATACTTTCTTTATAATCTGTAGACAATTTCTTACATATATGTTCTATAAAGAACTCCCTTTCATTTAAGAAATTACATAAAAGAGCATACATTTAAAATCTATAAAGTCTAGTTAAAGTTTGTTCTTTTTTCCCATTTTGGTATGATGTAATGCATATCATGTGAATATAGGAATTGTAATGAAAAGGTCTCCAGTTTTATTTTCTATGCATAGATATGCAAATGTCTAAAAACACTTTTACAAAGGATTTTCCTTCAGGGGTCCACAGTGTTCCAATCATCCTTATGACCAACATTATACTAGTATCACAAGGCCTGAACTGCCACAGCTACATACTGAATCTTGAAGACTTAAGCCTTCTAACTTTATTATTTCTGAGTTTTTGTCCCATTTAGTTTTTATTATTAATATTAAAGTTAATTTTGAATGAGAGAGGCATTTAACTAGTAATTAGTATCTAGACAATATTCACCAACACAAACATGGTTGATGTTTCAAATCCTGACACATTATGATGATAAATATCTGGGGGGAAATGAGTGAAGAATCACAGAGAGACATATTAATTGCTCATGAATTCTTTTTAAAAAATCAAGGACGTGGGCCAGGCGTGGTGGTGCATGTCTTTAATCCCAGCACTAGGGAGGCAGAGGCAGGCAGATCTCTGTGAGTTCGAGGCCAACCTGGTCTACATAGTGAGTTCCAGGACAGCTGGGGCTAGAGGGAGACTCTGTCTCAAAAAGACAAAAAAAAAAAAGAAAAAGAAAAAGAAAAAGAAAAAAAAAATCAAGGATGTCAGACTACACCTATAAAAAAAAGTTTAAATATGATAATATGTTTTGAAAGATAAAATGGAATTTAATGATTCATTACATGTAGGATGATGGCACTGAGATCTACTATAAGTTCTGTCTTCAATAATTAGCTATAGGTCACTACCACAATCAAAAAAGAAATGCAGAAGAGGAAATAATGCATTCAACTCCAAAACTGTCCAACACTGCAACATCTACAGGGCTGCGAAAGGCATGTTGAGCAGGCAACCTGGCATGCAAGGGCTGCGGCAGAGACTCGGCGAAGAGCACAGAGGAGAGGATGGCACAGCAGTGCTATGAGCTGCAGGACACAGTAAGGTGGAGAAGCATACTGAGAGCACAGGCAGAAACAATGCCCTACAGAGAGGACTCATGGAGATTTCCTTGAATGAGCTCAGCCAAGGGAGGTAATGCTGAAGAAGAGATATAACTAAAGCAGAAAACATCAAAGTCTAAGATTTCAAAAGAAAGTTCATGAATCTTTTTTAATTGAATTCTTGCAATTTTCATATAATATAATTAGTTGGTGTTCGGATCCCCTCCGCTATCCACACCTCCCCTAGTTGTCCCCCGCCCAATTTAATGTACTCTATTATATATACAATAAGGCATATAGAGTCTAATTTGTGTCTCCAAGTGCCCTTCGGAGTGGGTCCATCCACTGGAACCTGGCTAACCTACTAAGAGTCTCATGTTTGAAAGAGACTATCCTCCCCTTCCCAGCAGCCATCTGTTGCCAAATTTCCTTAGGTGGGGTTGGCACTTCTTAATCACTTCCTCATGTCTATGCTGGGATTTTTTTCTGGTTTGAGCTTGCAAGGGACTTGTGTATGCTGTCACTGTTCCTCTGAGTTCATATGAGTAATGACCACCTCTTCTAGCTCTTAGAATCTTTCTGCCCCCTCTTCTGCAATGCTCCCTGAGGCTTGGGGAGCAGAAATTTCATATAGTGTCCTATCCAAGGATAAGCTATCTGCAAGAAATTTTTTCAGTCTGAAGAAGAGGATTTTATTAAAAAGTTAAAGGAACATCTAGTTAATAAGGAGAACATAAAATCAGTTACAGAAAGGTCCACAGGAATTTAAAATGTGAAAGGACATATAAGTGAGCATCAGTCAATGGAGGGGACTGTGTGGTCACTCTCAAATGCCATGCTCCTCCGCTAGAGCTCAAGTACATCAGTGTGAATTCAAATTCATCAGTGTGAACCAGTATGGATGAGCCATATTTTTAAATCTAAATTAAGAAAGTTGTTTTTCAGGAAGACTAACAATCAGCTATAGATGTCCTCCTGCTGGTTTGCATTTGGCACTCCCTCCTGACATTACCTGCATTGACACTGTGATCTCCTGAAGGGCAGCGTCCGCCTCGTCCTGCTTCATTTTAAGTAATATGCTTTGTTCACCAGCTTTTCTGTTCAGCTCATCCACAAGAGCTTTAGCTTCATTTAGTTTAGACACACCGGCCTACATCAATAAAACATTGATTGGAAAATAAAATAACTTTATACACACAGTAAATAAAGCCTTATGTGAAAGATAGGACACGTGAGCTTTTTTCTTTTTCTTATCACTAGTTAGTATGATTTAGTAAGTGTCTTATCTATTTATGATATGGTAAAATACTTCACAGTAAAGAAAAACATTTTAAAGCATCACAGTAATGCTAACCATTTCACATTAATATTTCATAGTTTAAACACTGGGTGAAACATTATTTACATAATATTAGATAAAGGAAAATATAAAAAGAGAAAATTGTGAACCCTTTCCCATTTCTACTTCAGGGTGACTCATGTATGGCAGGCTTGGCTTGCCTCACCTCATGTAGTGTTCTTGGGGACTACCATCAAAAGGCCTCCTGCTCGCTGAGCGAGCATTTGCTTTGACTCAGTCATTATGATCCCCTATTCTCCTCCCCAAAATTAATCCAAGAAATGGACATGAAATCAAATTCCTTCTATTCTATAATGTTGGTTAGGTTTCTGTCACAACAGATTTGGAAAGAGGGTCATGGAAGAAAACAAATGTAACCAATATTTACTGAGTCCCTATTAACAGAAGACAGGTATCAAGCTACATTCGTCACATAGATTTTTACCTATTAATATATTCACATAATTGACTCTTTGAAGGAAAAGTTCAGCAAGCTTAAGTAATCTCCCCAAAGAACCACTGAAAACTAAGTCAGGAAATCAGCCCTCCCCATACGTAGCTACAGGCTTCACATGTACTTAGTTGCCCACCATATCTAAATGGTTGCTGAAGACACCACACTTGGGTTACAAGACACCGAGAATTCAACCTTGAACTGACCAGGAAATTCTCTCCCTGCTGGCTAGCTTTCGTGGTGCTTAAACATGCTATGCAGGCTAACAGGGAAGAAAAAATATCAACAGTTTTATTCAGTGCTGGACTCTGTAACACTGACCTACTAGGCAAGATGTGCCCACTGGTGCAACAGTAGCAAGACTGTTTAGGGAGGTAATCAATAATATTCTTGATAAGACTTGAGGCTGTTCCACAGAAAGAAATTCATTCCTAGTATTGAATATGGTCAAACCTATAGCTAGGGAAGTCATAGACCCTAGGAAAGACTCTATTTACATTGCTTTTCTAAATGATCATGTTGTCAAATGGCCTTCTAAATACTTGTGTATATACCCATAGATTTGTGCTGCTTCCAATTTAGGTAGAGAAGTTTCTTATTGCACTGGTATTGGTTAATACAGAGACTATTACTGTTCAAAGAGCTGAGAAGAAGTCACTATGTGTGTTCAGTCATAGATGGAACATCTATATCAACCCCTTTCCCCAAGGCTCAGGGGACATCATGGAAGAGACAGTGGAATGAAGTTGGGAAGGAGTGCTATGAATCCATGACTGACAGCCTCAAGTCTCTCCAATGACAAATGAACTCTCTTGCCAGTGTTGTGCTCCAAAACAGAAGAGCACTGGACTTAATAACTGCTGAACATGGGGGGATGTGTGTAGTATTGGGAGAGGAATGCTGTTTTTTTGTGAATGAATCAAATGCTGTTGAAACCAATGTTAATACTCTCAAAAACCTTCGTAATGATCTATTTTCAAGATTTCAACCCACCGAACAATTAGGTTGGTTTAGTAACCTCTTTTTTCATGGCTCCTACCCTTTGTTAGCCCCCTGATCATGCTGTGTGTCATTTTGATGCTTGCTCCCTGTTTCATATAATTTCTTCACTGACAAATTACTACCATTGCAAAAATTACTACCAAGCAGGTCATGGTCAATTATTAAACTTTGAATTCTCCCGAGATAGATGAGTTGGTTCTTAAAGCTTGTGATGACACCTCTTCATTGTAAAACAAAACAGGGAGAGATTTGGGGGGACCCCGCTGCTAGGGTTGTAGTCCTCCATGTCCGGATAGCTCTAAGGGGCTTGGTACTATATGGAAGGACTCCCTTTCTCACCGGGGGCCTCCTGCTCTCTGCCTGACTTACCTGGAAAGTGCCGCCAAGCGCGGATGCCTGACCTTATTTGAAATATGACCGAGTAAAAACTACCCCCAGGTTTTTTCTATATGATAATTAGGCATTGCCCCATAGTTGGATGATAGGAACCCCCTACCACATGTAAATAAAGCACACTATGAGCACCTATCAGCTGAAGCTTTGGCTGCTGCCTCCACACTATATTTTCTCTAACCCCCACTGAATAAACGGAGCTGTTTCACTGAGTCTGGAGCTGTATCACTGAATCTGCCTCCCCGGAAGGGCTTTCCTCTGTCAGTGCTCACTGGCCATCCTGACCCCATTCGTCGCTTCTGCTCCCTTTGCCCTTGTGGACCGGTGGCCAATGACACACGAGGGGAGGGAGAGACCCCACAGCTGGTGCTAACGTGGGGCTCCTGGAACATGCAGAGTTTTTGAGTATCCCTTCTCTCCAAGAGGGTAGTGGCAGCTTTGCCTTAAGCCATCCCACCCTTGAGGATTGGCAGTCTCTCCTTTTTCTTCCTCCTTTGCGTGGGACCGTTAAAGACGAAGGAACAACTGAGGCTTTCTGATCAGGGCTACCCCCTGATGTCAGCCAAAGGCTCTTAGCCCTCTTAACGGACCCCAACTGCCCGCACGGGTGTAGACAAGACCCCCATCTATACATTTTTCTAATGCAAAAACCCAGTAACACAACGACCAGTTAATTGCTCTTAGAGTGGTCACCAGATCTCTTAAATTTGCGGGCAGGCTTGTGCTGTGGACTCCATGGAATCACCTGAGGTTTGATCCCAGGCATGTTCCCCTAGGAATCAGTGTTTCACCCCCCTTTCCTTTTCTATCTTGAACAACACCCCGAGAAACAAAATCTCCAAAGTTCTAAGGGATTTTTATACAAGCTTTGAATTGAACTTCTAAGATAACAAACTTCCTTAATTTGTTTTGTTATCTCACCCCAGGGCGCTCAAGCTCAAGCTAAACCAGTTAGGTGAGATTTTAAATTAACTAGCCTTGGCACAAAAAGGCACTCCAGCTCCAAGTGCCCCATAACAAACAAAAACAAAGGATTTAAAGTGGTGGGTGGCCACAGAGCACTTACAGAATTTAAGGCAGCTTGCACCATACACGAGGGTCCCCCAACAGTCCTCCAGATATAACATGGCTGTTACACATATGAACTGAACAGCACCTTTGGTTACCTACATCAGAACTTCACAAGGGCCAACTCTGTTAAAAATTTCAGCACATGGAGCTGGAGAGATGGTTCAGCGGCTAAGAACGCTGGTTGTTCTTGCCAATGACCCAGGTTCGAATCCCAGCACCCACATGGCAGCTAACAACTGTCCGTAACTCCAGTCCCAGGGGATCCGACAGCCTCTTCTGACCTCTGCGGGCATTGCACAACACGGGTGCACTTACCTATATGCAGGCAATATACCTATACATATAAAAATAAAAAAATAAATAAAATATATAATTTTTTCAAATTTCAGCACATATTGGGAAGGGGATCCACCCCTTACTGAGAAGTTATTGGCAGTTGATGGCTGCCAGGGCAAGGAAAGTCACTTTTGAGGGTGTGGTCACTGATAGGTTCCCCATGCCCCCACTGACTGACCCCACATCCATGTGTACTTGGGCAGAACTGACTAGATTCAGTGGGTTAAATAAGGAACAAACAAACACACAGAATAATGAAGACAGTTAGGTCAATTTAGTTGGTCCTAGTGAATTTCCCTATGAGAGAACATAAAACTTCAGACATAAAATACTCTGAAAAATTTAAAGGTCAGCATTCTGGTGTGTGGGTGTGGGTGAGTGGTACTGGTGATTGAAACCGAGGACTTGTACATGCTGGGCAGGCACCCTACCACTGAACTAGAGACCCAGTCCCCAGAGGCTAGCATTCTAAAGTCACATTTAAGTTGAATTTATTTACAAAAAGAAAAAAAGAAAATATTTCAGGATGTGAAGTGACATAGGAACATTATTAAATGTAAATTCAACCACAAACAATTATAATTTCAATTTCAAGCTTTATAATAATATTTAAATAAGCACTGTTTTCCCTTTTTTTTCCTACCCTGGGACAAAGTTTCACTATATAACCCAGGCTAGCCTCAAATTCCCCATCCTCTGCCTCTGCCTCCCAAGCACTTCGAGTGCAGGCATGCATCACCATGCCCAACTAACTAGTGATTTCTCGATTTCTAAAATGCCTTCATGTGAAAAAGACCTTATGGGAAATGATATATCCATCAAAACCATTAAATATTATCCTCTAAAAAGAGAATAATTATTGAATGAAGAAAAATCATTACCATACTGTAGCAGGCAGCCCTGTAAGGAAGTATGATGCTCTCCTAAGGTTTCCTATACAGTAATATTTACACTGAGTATATACCACAGGTAACAGCCAATGTGACTGGAATAATCTTTGCTCTCTACACACAGAAACTCAAGACAGAATAGTTGAAAACTAAAAGCAGTCAAGATTATCAGTGTTGCACCTGTAAATGGTTCTGTCTTTTCAGTAATTCCTCCTTCTTGCTGCTGCTGATGGCAGAATACACATGTAGGAAAGTCATGTACCGGCTAGGGGTGGCACCATATGCTTTACAAGACTCATGGATTAGCAAGAATGATTTTAGAAAGTCAGGATCAACTAGGAAAGACAAGAGATAAAACTTATTTATAAGCATGACGTATTAAGAATCAAAATAATCTTGTATCTCACATTAGATATGCTATATACTTATAAACGTGAAACTTTTTCTTTAAAATGTACAGACATTCTTTGCTATCTACTCTATCTTCTGTGTTCCTTAAAACTTTGAGTTATCTCGTTTCTGCAGTCTCTCTCTTTCCACTGTTATTTGTTTCTCTTAAACATCGTTTTGATGCAAAGAGATAAATCTACTTGTATCATAATATATAAATTGAAACCATATAATACATGTAATCAAAAAGCCAACACAGTAAGACATTCTAAATGACACACAATTTATCCATTCCCATCTGACAAGAAAGGGTAAAGAGCCCCAAAACCACAAAGCTAGGAATAAGTTCACACCGAAATTCAGAAATTCTGTGATCAAAGATGTAGCTCCTACACTGACTCATTTTCCTTGTTTCCTATTGCAGTGAATGAAGTCGACTTCTAATGACTGTCCCAAGCTGGAAGCCAGTGAGACACCCTTGACGCCTTGAGTGTCACAGCCATTACACATTCAAGTCCTGTGGAGACTGCTTCCTAATGTCCTCCAAGTTCACTCCTGCCTCTCATCTTACCTCTTCCTTGGTTCAGGACTTTACCATTCTCTCTCACATTACAAAAATGGACTTCTAAAGTGGTCTGATAACCTTCAATTTGTCCCTGTATTAATCTACCTTCCTAAAATACAAACAATATAGGGACAGACCTAAAGAGTCCTCTTTCTAAAAAGAGAACAGGTTACATGCCTGACAAAAATCTCTCAAAAACCCCAGATCATTCACAAATCCGAATTCAAACTCAGGGTAATATGCAGGCCTGTCACCATCTGACCCTGCATCTTTTTCTCATTTCTACACCTCCACACCCTCATGGTTTCAGACCTGTAGACTACTTCACTGCTGCAGAAAAGCCTGTCTTACCCCTCCATGCTGTTTTAAGACTACACATTCTGATAAGAATGCTTTACCCTCCTCTTCGTAGCTGGACACCGGTTTAAGTCCATCTGGTGGGGTCTCCATGGCCTCCTTGATCAAGAGGACAGGTGACTCACCACAGTTACAGGACATTTTGAGAATGCTCCATAGTCCCCTGGAACTTAGTCAACCTTGTTCAGGATCTCAGAAAGTAACCCGACTGTGACTAGTAGTAATCAGAAATATAGAGATTAGAGACACATATGCAAACATCTAAGCGTTAGTTGCAAAGTGAGTTTTTCTGTATGAAACAGCATATTTTAAGATGAAATGGAGATCTTTTTTAAAGGTTAAAACCTCATTCAATTTTATGACTTACACAGTTTATACTAAGTACAACAATGTATAACTGTATTAATTCAACATTGTGAACCTAAAAAATTATAGCCAGTTTTGAAAGAGATGCATCTTTGCCCTGGAAACTGTTATTGAATATGTCAATGCTATTGTAATAAAATGCTTCTTCTAATTATGTGGTTATTAAATAATTTTTTTTAAAAATTGGAGCTAAAAAAAAAAAAACTGCTTTTCCCAAACAGCTGCTTTAGAACATCTACTCCTACAATACTTATCAGATTAAAATTTTACAACACACTTTATAGAAACTCGTACTACCACTTGCTATCTCAGAGTTTTATATTTATATGTAACATAACTCTTGTTTTGCCTAAGCTATTATCAGCTCCTTCAGTAAACAGCACTGCACCTAGCATGAAACAAGTTTAATAAAAATTTCATGGTTAGATGCTTATATTAAAGATAAATAGGCTATGATATTAAAAAATCCTTATTCAAAGTGAATTTGTAATGAAAAATAGTAAGAATATTATAGTTGAGGAAGTATCTGCACTCACCAACCATCATGGAACTTCTGGAATTGAACTGAGCTCTATGACACATCTAAGTGATGATGTAATATGGAAGGTTTAGGCTACTGAACAAAGAGTTGACACAATCTAATCAAGACTACAGACCACTAGGTCAGAAAAATAACTTTACATATGTAAAATTAGAGGGTGGAAAGTGGGGAGGGGGAAGTATGCATGTTTGGTGTGTGTGCAGGTACACATGTGTGTGAGGGATGCACATGTGATGTGTGTGCATGCATGTAGAGGTCAGGGGTCAAGGTGTCACTCCGCAGGAGCCATCCACCTTGTGTTTTAGAGCCAGGGTCTCTCACTGGCCTGGAGCTCCCCAGTCAGCTAGGCTACTAGCTGGCCAGCCCCAGCAGTCTTCCGTCTCTGCATTCTCTAGCACTGGCACACAGAGCAGGCACTTCCACAACCAGCATTTTCCTGTGCGTTTTGGGAATCTACCTCAGGCCCTCTGCTTGCATGGCAAGCTGTTTACTAACTGAGCCATCTCCCCACCCCTAGAAAATGAGTGTTTGACTTTCTTAAATTCATACTATAGGTATTGTTAGCTTCTATATTAAATCCTTAATTAAAAAACAAAATAGGAGGCTGGACATGGCAGTGCATGCCTTTAATCCCAGAGCTCAGGAAGGAGAGGCAGGAGAATCTCTGTGAGAGGGAGGCCAGCCTGCTCTACATAGCAAGATCAAAAAAGAAGGCTTCAAAAATGTGACTCACACAAGAAATCTGATGTTGTTACAATTAGCATTATTTGAACTTCTAATCATCTTTCATGAATCTACAACATTAGAAAATAGCAATGCTCTCTACTATAAATTGAGATAATTGAATAATTATAAATCAGAATCAGACAAAAATCAATGACACCAAACTATTACCTGAATTTTTTTTCTTTTCTTCTTTTCTTTTCTTGTCATATTTTTCTTCACCATTTGTTTCACTGAATAACATTTCAGGTATCTAAAACACAAAAATATTTCTTTACAACTCAAATACGGGCTTGAGGTGTCAGTCCATAGTACAGAATTTTCCCAGCATGTACAATGCACTTGGTTAAATCCCCAACCCAACAAAGGAAAAATACAATTCAAATCAGTGTGAAAACTTCAAATAAATCCAGTATTCAAGGTTAAAAACTATTAACACAAAAACACACAGTAAAAGTCACATTTTTCTTCACGCTACACTAACAAAATATATCAATCTTTAGAAGACATTATTTATTAGCTATTTCAACAAATATCAACCATGAATTGCAAATTTAAACATCACATAAGACCACCAACATCTCATCAAAAAAATGATTAGACAGTATGAACAAAAAATATTATAGCTTGTATTGAAAGAGAAAATACCAAGTAAGATTATACAGTTAATAAACAGAAAAATGTTTCATTTGGTGTAGAACCAATAAAATGCCTTCAATCACACAGCACTGCAGAGAGGATTTTCAGTTTTACGATGTAAAAAAACAACTAAAAATTAATGAAAATCATTTCATAAATGAGTCACAATTTTATAACTGCTCATTGCAAAGCTTTTCCCTAGATTTCCAGCTGAGTCCCTGTGGACATCAGAATCTCCACCCAAGTCTAGTCTCAGTCATTCTGCCTCCCTGGATTGCCACTCACCCTTTTCAAGCCCTTATCCTCCTTATCAGCTTAAATTAAATTCCTGGTAAATTCTAATTACAGGATGGCAGCTACTCCAGTGGCAGCAGAAGTGTGTGGGGGCTGGAGGGAAAGCACAGCTGCACTGGCAGGCCTGGAGGGGATGATCTCCCTCCACCTAGCTGTCACAGTCCACGCTCCCAGCCTTTCCATTCAGCCATTCTCACCACCTACTTCCTGTATCTGTTCAGGTCCACCAAACGTCCTCCTTCAGCCTTTATCTCAAATAATGATATTACTTGGAATTCAGGAAAAAATAGAAAAGTATTTTCCAAACTTCCCAGTATATCTAAAACTTCCCAGTATCACGCCTGCCTACCTTTTCTTTTCCCACAGACTAAAATATCTTTCCTGACCTTTCTTACTGAAATAAAATATTATATAACTAAAATATGACCTCATCTTTGGATAACCATGAGGAAATCAGTCCTACAGGCTTCTGGGAACTTGCTCATATGAACCTACAGCAATGGTGACAGCATGCACAAGACCCATGCAAACTCGGTCAGACAAAAACCCAGCACAGAACTGGGGAGATGGGCAGGAGGCCCTGACTTTAGCCAAAGAACTATTGGCAGCTGATCACTGCTGGTTGAGGGAGAGTTGGTCTTCTTTAAGGGAGTGACACTAGACAGGCTGAACTGGCTCCAGTGGATGAGCTCACACTGAGGGACATCTGGGTACACAAAGTTGACTTGATAGACCTTAACATGTACGACAGAATGCATGAAATCCAGCGGGTGCTAATAGGGAGGAGATCAAAATATGATTAAGGTGTATTGTATGAAATGCCCAAAAATTCAATTAAAAATGGGTATTAAAAATAAAAAATAAAATATGACCTCATTGGAAAGACTTTATTGTCTTGAATCACAATAGACATTGATGTGCATTTCTATTACACAAGAATAAGTGACTGAGAATATGAATAATATTTAAAGGACCATGTCGAAGTCTATTTATTCAGAGAGTCAAATAAGTAGATTCTAATTAAGAAGATGCCATGAGCTCACAGATTAAACTTATTTCCTTCTATGTATTTGGGATGTCAATGATGAGGCCCTTTTAAGTATTTAATTTTTTTACTTTATAAATTCTTCATGTGTGAATTTTTTAAACTCTGAGCTAGCCTCTGATAGGTTAACAAATTAAAGGCTTAATATTTAAAATATGATGATGATGTCTTCATTCCTCAAAATTCTACACTCAACTAAAAATTTCAATTTAAAATTCTGTACTCAACTAAAAGAAAAATCAAAAGAAAAGAAAATGGAGATGTTTTCAAATATAACAGAAGTGCTCAGTGCCACAATTTAATATGAAAACTAATACCAAAGGCCTCACAATGAAGGTGCTTCGTCTTGGTTTCCCATTTCAAGGTCAGAACTTACTTTCTTCATACTGCTGTCTGACCAGCCTTCCATCCACAGCACCTGGCATTTTTTATGCAAAGCAGGATTGCTCTCACAGTTTATTATGAAGTTCAAATTCGCAGAATCCATAATCAAGACAATATGTAAGTTTTGCTGAATTCCTGAAACATACATAAGGAAATTTAGTCCTGGAAGAGTCTAAGAAAAATAGGAACTGGAAACCTACAAATGGACTGGTTTTATGAGATGAGTTTTCTGTTAAATAAAATCATAGGTGCATATTTGTGAAAAACAGCAAGCTTTGGAGAAATATTTTGGAATGATTTTTATATTGGTCAAAAACTACTTGCTTCTTCAGAGAAGTAGGCCCTGGCAGGTTGGCCAAGCTCCAGCGGATGGCCCTACACCTATCCACACAGGAAAAGCGCTGACTGGACTCAGTGGGCTATGGAAAGAGAACTTGAATTTGGGAGGAAACCCAGAGGGGGGTCTCTGGGAGGAGTTAGAGGTGGAGTGGAGGGTTGACATGCTCAAAATACATTATGTATATATGAAATTCTCTAAGAATTAATTAAAAAACACTTGTAAATATGTGTATTTATGTGCCTGCCATACTGAAGAAGGAAGTGAAACACCACCAAGCATATGAATACAGGAATGGCTCTAGGCATCATTTTTGCCTTTCCAAAAATTTTTCCAGTTTTATTTCTATACTGTACAAGAATGTGCTTCTGTATAGGTCAATGACTATTTAGCAATTAAAAACTATAAAGTCTAGCACAACACAAATAGTTTCATGGTTTAAGACAGGAGGCTCTGAAGGAACAATAACATTCTCATATGAAAACAAGCAAGGGAGGGAGGCAGCCACCACTGCACTCCCACCGTACCCTTTTGCTAAAACTGGGCTAAGGTATTTTCATTCCAGGCTTCTTACGTGTTACTATGCTGCAGGGGGGAATAAAACAGTAAGAAAAGAACAAACTACCAAATAACCTACATATTTAAGACACAATCTAATTAAAAAGTAAGTAAAATTTTGAGGTATTCTTTTCACTGCAGTCAGAATTTCAGTTCAGTAAGGAGCTCTATGTCCCTTACTGTATGTGAAGTAATTGAAGACTGATCCAAAAAAGCCATCCTGGGAAGCTTCATCTTTCAGAGGCAGCAGCAAGGGCTCCAGTTCCTCGAGCGTGTAGAGTCCAGGAACCTCACCTGAGGAAGAAGACCTTTCAATGTTGGCTAGCATACACTAATTCAAGACAGAGTTTACATACAAAGTGCTTTTCCATTTTTATATTAAATACTCTGCCCTTTCTAAAATCATACAAATACAATCAATAGCTACATAACTCCAAATCAAAATCCTTAGTTTTATAAAGCTTGCGATTCATAGTAAGCAACTATGTCCAACGTTCTCTACGACATGGAAAGCTTTAGACAGGCCAATTCTACTGGATCATTCTCACAACAGCCCTTCTACTTTCTTTCATAGAAACCCATCACTTGCCTGAGGACAGAAGGCTGTTGATCATCTCCAGAAATGTGGGGTGCACAAACTGGTAGTCCTCCAGCAGCAGGACGACCTGCTGGGCGTCAATTCCCGCAAGATGCAGAACCTGCATGATGGAAAACAGCAGCACTTAGTGTCTTTTTGGAACAGCCTAAAATTATTACTCTTGATGGAGCATAACAACACAGCCTTTCAGCCTAGCACACCTGAGCCTGGGCTGTGTTAACAAGCTGCAGAGCAGAGCAGACTACACAGCAAAATCCCGCCTCAAAAAAGCAAAAGGCATCCTCTTTATAAAATACATTACTATCATGTATTTATTTAGTTTTTGTAATTTTTTTTGAGACAAGGTTTTACTATGGAACCCTGGCTGGCCTTGAGTCTATTACATAAATCAGGGTGGTCTTGAACTGCTTTGTAGATCAGGCTGGCCTTTAACGTGCTATCAGGGTAGTAACTTGGATCAAGGTAGTCTTGAAGTTGAAGAAATCCTGCTGCCTTTGCCTCCCAAGGGCATCACCATGCCCAGCTTAGAATCTATTTACTAACTTTTTTAGAAACAAGAAACCAAAATTAAATCAAATTTACCTGCATAGTTTAAAAAGTAAATCAAGCCAGGTGTAGGGGACCATGCCTTTAATCCCAGCACTTGGGAGGCAGGGTCAGGCGGATCTCTGTAAGTTCAAGGCCAGCCTGGTCTACATGGTGAGTTTCAGGACAGCTGGGGCTACAGGGAGACCCTGTCTCAAAAAGACCAAAAAAAAAAAAAAAAAGAAAATAAAATTCAAAAAAAAAAACTATTTGAAAGGAAAAGAATGTTAGGGGTATGTTATTTAAACAAACACTAAAAG